CCGAATTCCTCCGAAGTGAATCCAGCCACAATTACCCCGTGCCAGATCACATGTCCACCAGGCTTTAGCCGTGCCCCTAATTTAGAAATTTATTTATTTTGATATATACATGCAGTCACATTAAAAACTACAAAATACGGTATTTGTTATGATATCATGTATGTATCGGTATATGCTACATCCGGTACCTTTTTTTTTCTTTACTACACCAACCAAAAAATCCACCCATAGAATCTATCTGTTATAGTTTTTCTAAAATCTATCTCATTACAGTTTTTCTATATATTAATTTTCAAGATCGGGATATACATTAAAAAGCTTTGAATTATGTTTCAAAAAAAGGATATCATGCACACAATCAGAATCTAATCGGTTACGTTTTTTTGTAATTACATTACCAGCATCTGAGAATAATCTTTCGGAAGGAACTGACAAAGCAGTAATTGCAAGATATTTACGGGCTTGCTTGGCATGAATAGGCAATGCTTTATGATGTAATTTCCACCATATAAGTGGATTTTCCGTAAGATATAATGGATCGTTGAGAAGATGTGTTGGAATTTGTAACATCGTAGCATATATTTGCATTTCGTTTTGTAGAAGAAACCCATCGTGAATAACATCAAAAAAATTATATAATAAAATTTCCAAATTATTTCCATCATTTCTAACCGTGTAATTTAAATCGTTTTTGAGAACTGCTATTAAAGAATATATAGCATTTTTAAGAGAAATAAGACGTTGTAATGCAGCATAAGTAGAGTTCCATCTTGTTGGAACATCACGAATTGGCTCGAGAATTTTTGAATTTGATTGTACATTATTATTAATTATTAATTGCTGTACATGTCGAAGAGTTTCCCGATATTTATCCCGACAAACAAGTGCATTATTAAGTATTTTAGCCTTATTGATAATTTCATGACATTCCTTAAGACCTTCGTTTATTGCAAGTTGAAGCATATGAGCATAACAATTAATATGTTGATAATTAAATTGTTGTAGTGCAGCTGTCATATTCGTTGCATTATCACTAATTCCTGCAATTATTTTATTTGTTATATCCCATTTTTCAAATAATAGGCGATTCTATCACCAGAATGTCCATAAGGAAATTTTTCGATAGTTAAAAAGTCCTTGTCGAAGTTCAAAATCAGATGTTAGCCAATGAATAGTTACACGGAATATGAAATTGTGTCCAGAGATCAATTGTAAAACTGTAAAGTTTCTATTGAATATTCTATCTTATAAGATAGATGTTCCTCGACAAATATTGTGTATTCACCCAATTTTTTTACCTTGCTGACACATGACATAGAAAATCGATTGTCTAATATTTTACATATTGACGACATTGTTTATCAGTAGGTTTGTATATATCGATATAGACTTCCGAGTTTTGATCAATTGTTGTATTTTCTATTAATTCAGAATTATTAACAGCGAAAATTTGATGAGCTTTTATTCAAATGGTTTCCAATATTAGTTGTTGAACAGGAAGATTTAAAACGATTTCCACAAATAGTTTTTTCGCCATTTTTTTCTATATCTATATCTATATCTATATCCATTATTAATTATTTTATCGACATAATTCCATACCCAGCTTTCATTACGATTTGTTGGTTGTATATGTTTAATTGTCGATAATACATGAATAGAAGGTTGCTGTTCTGAATACGAAAATAAATTTAAAGATAATGAAGGAGATGGAAGTAATAAAGAAAGAGATTCACGGATGCAGAATATGGATTTGAATATATTGATTGTGATTGCGTTAATGTGCGTTTTGTACGTGAACGTGTAGTATTATTTGGATTATATATTATAAAACGTGTTTTTTCTTTCGTTAGAGTTTCGTTTTTTATTTCGTGACATTTGTATATACAGTCAAATCTCTTTATAACGAAGTGATTGAATTTATTTTTAAATTATCCGTTATAAAGAATTTATCAATTACTCTATAATAATAACGGATTTTTTATGTGAAGAAAAGAATGATAATAATGAAAAGATTCACCGTTGTTGATCTTGTTCGGTTAATACATATGTATAACGATAATATCCCATAATTATTTTTAAGGTTACCAACAAAGGAATAAAATACAGCCAAGCGACCAGGCCGTCTTTGGCCAGCCAGGTCGACCAGGTCGGCCTGGCTGAGGTTGACTTATATCACTGGGTTTAATATCCATTTAAGAAAAGGGTCTTTGGAGAAGGATACAAAAAAATTAGCAGGATCTTGACTAAAGAAGGAAGAATGCTGGCAACTGGTCCCATTATTGTAAACACTAGTGGCGATGTAATTGAATGGCTATAAGAGATAAACACAGATAAAACAAGTTTTCAAATATTTGTGTACCATAAACATCTTAACATTCCGTTTTCTAAAGTGTTAATCTCTTTAATTGTAAATAAAGTCTTTGTCAGAAATGATAATTTGAAATTCTTACCTAGGGATGATAATACAACTCGATTCTTTTTGAAAAGCACAAATTTTCCGTGGTTTGGGAAGTTTCTTAATAATAAAATATCTCAATATTATTTAAATTTGTAAAGCATTCGAATCGAAGGGACTTAACCTTAGAATTAACATTAATTACCCAAAAGAAATTCAATTACTTCCGCCTAAATATAAAGAAACCTTAACATCGACTTATGTATGCGATCAGAATCTAAGTTTGGCAAAAAAAAACCATTTATTCCTTCCGGTTTTATATCTTTCCTGGAAAATTTTCGTTCGAAACCGAACCCTTGAGGCCTTCTAGTTCAAAGGTGTATCGGGTAGGCATCAATTGATCATTTTAACGAAAGGCTTTATTTTTTACCATTTTGCGATACGTTTAGGACCCATTTTTCGGGTGATCTTTAATGAATACGTTCGATACCGGCATTTTATTAACTTCAATCAATGCTATGCGACAGGTTACGCCGAATATATTGGCATTTATTGAATATAGGACAAGTAATAAAATGTCGGAAGGCGTGAGTAGATATTTTTTGGCAGATTGTCTAATCTGATTGATAAGATAATTTGCCATCAACTGTACTATTTTAGATGAGACACAAATGGGAAATTTTCGCATGTACGTGTGAATTAATTTAATTTTAAATAGATAATCATCGAAAGATGACAAATGTGTCACGTGGTTAGATCATTATAACAATAAACGTTTCTTATGTTTTGTTAATTTTTATTGTACGAATTATTATAAATATGATTACTCAAAATACTTTTATACTTAACTTGACTCTTGTATATTATAATATTAACTACTTCAAGTAGTACAACAATGGCGACTAGATTTCAATCGTTTCACTCTTTTGCCGGAAGACACGAGCTAAATTTGAGAAATTTAGTCAATGGTCATCACAATCACAACTTTCAATACCGGCATATAACATATAATAATACACAGAAAAGTTCGTGTCTGTTTCGTGGATATCATTCGTCTAAAACCTCTTTTGACGTAAGTATTCTTATAGAAAGGATAGGTCTATTATTATCAAATTAAATAAGAATAAATTGAGCAAGAGTTTGTTGAGTTTATTTAATGGTTTTAGTAAATTATTAAGTATAAAGTCCTTTAAATACTATTCATTAAAAATGCATAATTTATATTAATTCAAATTTAACTGATACAAACCGTACATATTTTATTTATAATTGTTATAATTTTATTATTAAAAGAATGCGGTGCTTAATACAAATTTATCAGTCGAACATCCAACAATACCGCCGATCAACTTTGATCACGTAAGTTATTTTTTTAAAAGAGTGTGAAAATTTATGTGTGAGGTGCTGTAAGAATATTTTGCTAATTTTTATATTTATTCTTTTCCCTGAATTATATATCGTCTCTCTGTCACATATATGAAATATATTTATTATATTCTATGTTGGATTGCTCGTTACATTATAGGATCTTCTGATAGACGTCCTAAAAACAATACCAAGCCAACGAGAAGCTCGTACATTCGTTAAACGATTCGCGAAACCTGAGCAAAATTCAAATGAAGGACAAAAGCAACAGCAATCAGAGTCAAAAGAAAAACATGAAAAAATCCTCACCGAAAAATCTTTAAAACGCGTTATGGCAAGACTAAAGTTCATCGATTCATTATTAACTCCTTCAGTTAATCATATTGCTCTGATAAAGATACAAGGACCATTGAATGAGTTGAATCGCGAAGGCATTGCGAAAACATTACTACATTTGCAAAAGTTGGGGTTGATGTCGATTGTGGTAGTTGGGAATGAGGACTGGAAGAAGATGGAAGGGTCATCCAGGTTTCGAGAATTGTTTCAAAAAATGTTTTTCGAGGCTGGACTGATTTGTGATGCGATCGAACAGAGTGGGGGTAGAGCCATGCCTATATATAATAGTGTTTTCACTATCGGTAAAAATCTACAAGATTTTCCCGACTTGTATACCAAGAAAAAACTACGAACTACAAGCGTTCCTGGTCTCGGAGATATAGACGTTTCATTATCTTGGTTGAAATCGTCATTGCAACTCGGTCAGATACCGTTGATTCTTCCTATTGCGATAGACGAATCATCAAACCAACAAGTTGTACAAGCAAATACCGCGATGATTGCTCTCTCGCATGCATTATCAAACCTCTCTGATACTGATTGTCTAAAATCACCAGAACTAGAACCCATGAAAATAATAATAATAAATTCTGAAGGAGGTATTCCATCGCAAGAACGTCGTGGATCACATGTATTCATTAATATACAAGAAGAATACGAACAAATTAAACAAGACTACAAAGTTAACCCGCAATGGAATGACACGCACCCAACAGGTCTCGAAAGTTTGGATATGATGAAGACTTGTTTGGAAAACTTACCGTCTACCTCATCGGGAATCATTGTGCCAGCTTATGCGCCAACTGTCTTACTCTCGAACCTTATCACCGATAAACCACTGTTCTCTTCTTCATTACCGCTTTCTTCACCAACTACCCCATGGACTACTACTACCATATTACGAGCGGGAATGAAAGTTACGCATCATCGTTCGTTCGACACTATTGATATAGCGGCATTTAAAGCGCTTGTCGAAACTTCTTTTGGGAACAAGTTAGATTTAGAAAAGTATCTAAAAAGAATGGAGAAGTGTGTTGATACTATTATTGTTACTGGTGATTATTCAGGAGTGGCCGTGATTACCATGGAATCAGCTTCTGTGGAAAAGAATAATAATGATAATATAAAAAGAGATGTTGTTCCGTATTTAGATAAATTGGCGGTTGATCCGGAACACCAAGGAACTGGCGCGGCTGACCTTCTGTGGAAACAAATACAAATAAAGTACCCGAAGATTATATGGAGGGCACGGGCTACTAATCCGATTAATAAATGGTAAGTGATAAATACTTAGTTTTGGTTCATGTGAATGTGTTTTTTTTTTAGTTTGGTAGAGCCTGCGAAGTAATTATTTAAGTTTTTTCTAATAAAAAAGGTATTTTGAAAGATCTGATGGAAATCTTCGAGTACCTGGTTCCCAATGGATGATGTTTTGGTATGGAAGTGAGGAAGGCACACGAATAAAGCAGTATGCAAAGATAGTACAACTGATACCAGCTTCCATTATTCGTTGACCTTGCTATTACATATCTATATATATTTAAAAACTTGCGTGATTCAGTACTAGGACGATGTTTTTTATTTTTTTTGGTATGAGAATAATTTATTTGTTTTAGAAATTCTCAAGTTTTATGAATTCTGTATTATTATTACACACAAATATTATTTTGATTTTTCACTAAGTAGGTGAGTTTTTTACCAGGCTTGATAAAGATGCATCAAGTTGTGTTTTATATAAAAATAAGTATTTAACCTGTTTAATAAAATTTCTTTGTTATACTCACATAAATATTTCATATTATTTTATAAAAATTAATTATGATATTTGTTGAAACTTGTTTTTTAATTAAATAGTAAAAATTTTTTAATTATAATCCCCTTCAAAATTTTTGTATTTTTAACTTTTTTAGATTAATAT